GCGCCAATTCCCGACTCAATCCTGAGGCATGTGGTCTGGCAGCTGGCTCATTGCGGTTCTCTCCGGCATCGTGGGCAACGCTGTTGTCAGCGCTCTTCCAACAGCGTGCCTCTTTGCAATGTGACCGTTCGGAAGTTCAAAACCTGTTATTCCGGGGTGTTTGCAGCTCAGTCATCCATATTCGTGCCAGCCATCTGACGCCCAGGAGATGAAATAGTGGCGTTTCCTCGTGGCTGTGTTGCGGTTGTTCTTGTTTTCTGTCGTAACTGCAATTCTTCCCCTTGCAGTTGCCGTTGCTCTTGCTCTAGTAGTTCATGTTGACGCACGTTGGAAAGTTTCCGATTCCACACTTGGCATAGAGGGGGTGGAGTATGTAGGGCAGTGTGGGGGTTGGCTACTGAATCCGCTGTTGCGCAAGCTCCTGAGTGCGCCTTTGGGAATCTGCTCAGATGTCAGACTTCTGAGATGGACACATACATGGTATTTTCAGTAGTGTTGACCCCTCGTCGCGTTCGTTCCGTCTTGTCTCAGCGTTGCCGATGCTTTAGAAAAGGTTGCAAGACTCGGTTTTTCCCAAGGCACGGGGATTTCAGGCTCGAGGCCTGGAAGCTGAAGACGAGCTTGGACTCTTGGCTTCAACCTGGTTTCGGGTTTTTTTTTGCAATGATGGGGGCCTGAAGGGAAGATGAGAGCCGAGGCCTGGGGAGGTCCGGCTGCAGCCTTTGATCTGGCAGCCGGCTTCTGTGTGATGGGCGCAATCCTCATCTCCGTACCCCGGCCAAGTGGTCATGGGGCCCTCGCGGTCGCAACGCTGATGGGAGCAGCGACAAGAGCGTGTATTCTCATAGGCATTTGCAAGTGGCAACGCTAGGCGAAATCATGTCCAAAGCCAGTACCGCCACAGTAGCTACCATGATCATACTGAGAATGTGTGGAATATGCTTGGATAGCAAAATCGCTCCTAGATGGCCACATCATGTTTCCGTGCCCATCTGCCATTACAGCAGTTGTAACCATGGCAACAAGTCATACTCGCCAAGACCGTACCACTACTGTAGTAGCACTCGAACAGCGAAAGTTGCCATCGAACAATCGTGATCATGGTAGTCACAGTAATTTCAGTATCCATGTCCGTCTTTGTTGCGCGCATCATACTCAAAAGCATGCTAAGAGGAAGAAGAAGAATCCGTCTCAGGTTCTTTGGCAGCCGAGGAGTCGCGACCCCGCAGCGGGAGAAGGGAGGCCATGGGCAGATCTCCGACCCTTGGCTAGGGTCAAGACTCAGAGGTTTGGGAGGGTGAGGCATGTCTCTGCAGGGCACAGCCTGGAGGCGAATCATTGTGCTTCTGCTTGTTTGAGTGTGGCCTTTCTGGATTTCGCAGCTGAGGGCCGTCTGCCAGACCGCAACGGTCTCGTTTATTCCAGCGCGCTAGCCCTAGTTTGTGCACCCTGCTTGCACCGGCTTAACTGTTAGGTCGCAATCTGACAGAGGCCTCCAGACAGCTGTCCGGGAAGCTGCGGGTTGTTGGGCGGAAGGTCTACGGCAGGTTCGTGCTGTGCCTTGGCAAATCCCGGCAGAATTCATTGTGAATTAAGCTTAAGAGTCTTGAAGGCATTGCGGCACGTGCATCATGGTCAAACTTGGTGGGCCCAGGGCAACCTGCGACAGTAAAGGCTTCCTGCTACCAGACTTTCAGGCCTTAGGACTTTTGATTGTTGCTGCTGTCTGTGCGCGGAGCAGCCTTTACGATGCTGCTCCAAGCACGTAGAACTGGCACGAAAGCTCAGGCAGTCATGGCCGACCCATGGGTGATCCGGTGTGGAGCAGTCACAGCTGCCTTTGAAGGAGCTTTGTTCGTGCCGGGGATGCATCTGGCCTTGCATAACACAACACCACCCTGGGATGCAAAGCACATCGAAGCGCATTCTGCATGCAGTCATGTTATCGAAGGTGTTCGTGTTTAGTTGGACGCCGGTGGTCCTCAATGGTACGCCGAATCTGGCTCCACATTTGGGGTTCTTTGGCTGCATGTGCCAAACTGTTGTCAGACATTGTCGGTAGTCGCGCTTGTAGCAACGGGAGCTTGCTCGGGCTGAGAAGTTTATGCACACTTGGGGATTTATGGGGATGGGATTTATCTGCCTTGCTTTTGCATCTTCTCGCGGGTGGGGGATGGGGGTTGGTGGTGGGGGGGTGGGTGTTCTGTGTTTCAAGGTAAATTATGATGAGGCTCTTACGCAGGAAGTAATTAGTTGATTCAAACTACTGGCAAACAAATCGAAAGTACCACGCCTGTCGCACGAAACAGCCCTTGACATGGGAGTGAGAATTTACTCAAGAAACATGTCGTTTGACATGACAACTCACATCATCATCACATGTCCTTTATGTCATGATCTATCACATCATATCATGTCATGTTATCTCCTATCAGTAGATTCTCAATCCTATGTTAAGCCCTTTTTCGTGTGACATGCGTGGTACTTTCGGCACGTTCGCCAGTGCAACTTTCAACTTAGTATCTCCCGCGTAACCAGCACCTTTGGGTCTAGCATCCGCAACACCGAAGCAAGAAGCGCGGAAGTATTTCTAAAAGAAATGATCTTTTTCTCATCTCCGAAAATGAGCCACTGATGCACACCAAACATCGGAATAAGCGGTGCAAGACGACGTGCCCGCAAAATTTGAGGGCACAGCCACCCCCACGAGGGGAAATTTATGATCTGGTAGCAGCTGCAGTAGTCGCTCCCTCGCTCTGCGTCTCTGTCTGTGTCTCCTCGCTCTCTCCGTCTCCCTCTCACACTCTCTGTCAGCCGCGGTTGGTTCAGCATCGGACTCCGGACCAATAAGCTACAGCTACTAGCTATGTGAACATGTCAGAGATTCACTCAATCATGGACGAACTACATCAAGATCGAAGCTTTCCCAGTACTCTCTTTTTGCCCAGGTTGGTTTTCTCATTGTTCATGCCGGATCCTGAGCTGTGCTTCCGAAGATTCGACTATTTGCAGGGGGTGTGCCGAATCGCGAGCATGGCATGCCTGTGGGTTTTCAGTGCACCTGTTTTCCTAGAGGGCCTCCTGCGCTTGCGGCTCCTGGTGCTTCAACGCCCTGCCCGGGCCTTGCTGACTACTCTTAGCATCTTATGCCTGCACACGGCTGCACATGTCGTAACCAATCGAGAAACGGCCAAGCTCGAGTATGTCCTCTGCGCATCAGGTCAGCCGCGTGGTGCCTCGGAGTAGTCAGCTAAGCCTCGCTGAAGAGAACGAACTTGTGTCCTGCTGTACTTCGAAGCGGCAGCGAGCACATGTCCAGTGGATCCCGATCCCAATTGGTCCAAGGAGCCCAGAGCGGCTTTTGCAGCCGCTGCTGACAATCGCGGCACTGGCATTGCTGGCAGCAGCCTACGCGGCCAAAACACAGTCGGTGCTGCTGGCTTTGGCTTCCTGGATAGAAATCAGTGCGGGAGTTCACGAGGCCCTTCTTGGCATTGTGTGGGCTTACACCTTTGACTATGACCGCGGCTTCTGGTCTCGTCTTGTTGCGTGCTGTCAGAGCTTTGGTGCTCAGGCTGCTTTCGCGCTGTTCGAGTTGTGCGTGGGGATCTATTTCCCGTGCATCAGCACTGTGAAGAGCCACGTGGTGCCCGACAGTGTGAGTGGCGCGGCTGAGTCCACGTGAGGCCACGTGCTTGACTCTACTTGCAGCTAAGAGTGTGGATCAAGGTGCGAATTTTTTTGGAAGCGTACCTCTGCGGCATGTCGTAGAACAACAGCCCTAAGGGACACTCGTCTACAGCCTCTACCGCGTGCCGCAGAATGCCTTTGCACTCGCCGTCCTCCTTCGCGTGACGCTGGCGTATTGCTTGAACTCGTTCACTCGGTTCATGTGGAGATTGGACATTGGCGAGCTTCCTGAGAGCGTGGCATGGTGCAGGTACCTTCGCAAAGCACTGCCCTGGTGGTGTGCGCGGTGGCGGCTTCAGCTTGTGAAACGCAGCCAGTCTTGCCAGAACGGTTTCGGCCTAGACGGGCATTTGATCGGCGATCGCTACTGGCTATCGTACTAAGCATACTAGGAGGTGGGCGCAAACCTGGCAGCAAAGTTCCAAGCCATCGGTCTGAGGTCGCACTTCTGCTGGTCGAAGCATGGGCTGCATGCCCAAGGCTAAGTTCAACATGCGCAGCACTGTCCATAAACAGCTTGCAGCTCTGCCGCTTTTCCGAGGCAGGCGAGCTTCCCACACTGCTGGATGTTAGCAGGGCGATCTCTGGGGTCTTTATTAAGCAATTCTGCACAAATGAATGCCGATGATCCAGCCGAGTTCTATAATTATCTGTAATTGTAAGACGGGGAACTGCTAGCGCGATTCATCCCCGCTTGGTCGTTCGAGCCTGGTGCAAGGGCACTTGCAAAAGTCAGACCCCGAAACTACAGGCATGTCCTGCCTCTGCGTTCCATATGCACGCAAAAACTGCGAATGCATATCCAGCCTTTATGTGGCCTTAAGCTGGCTTCACAGCTTCACGTCTAAACTTAAAATGCCACGTGGGAAGGGCTCTGTGGACGCTAAAGCTCGTGTCCTGTCGTAAGCTCCCTTCTCACGTGGCAATGATCGCTGACGCTGAGAGCTGGCGATAGCTCGGCAGCATCACATCCCCAGGAGTAAAATGTACGGGATGTGCAGCGCACCGCTTCTTCAGTGCAGCGTGCCGCGCAGGTGCCGTGTGTAGTACGGTTCTTGCGGCGTATACGTGATTTTGCCCAAGCTTAAGCCGAGAAAGTACGGACGACACGACACGCACCGCGACGGCATCTTACACAACAACCCTTTGATTGTGACAGCGTGCATTCACACCATCTTTGGTACTGCCAGCGATCATCACTCATAGCTCATAACCGTACTTAAATGATCCGGCAGAACCAGTACACGTTGAAATCTGGCAGCCTCGGAACGGTTTGAGTTGTGTCCAGAGCTGCCGCTCCGTTGCCGACGATGCAGACGGCCACCTACGAATATCCGGTGGCACTGGGGCTCGCATACATCCTTCTAGTCGGGTGCCTCCAGCTCAGATTCCAGAATCAATTGTCCCCGGTTGAGATGTTGCTCTGCCAAGTGATGGCCAGCTGCAAGTCCGAATCCGACATAGATTTCATGGAAGTTCGTGGTCGGTCAGGTGCCTTATCAGGGCCTTTTTCGTTTTCGTGGGCTTGCCAGCATCGGTAGGCTGGCAGAGCGCATGTTGCTTTGCATGCCTTCGACCAGTCCATGTTGGCGGATGCGAGAGTTCGGGCTGCACAAACAAGCATTGAGTCCAGTGCTGTTGAGCCTGGCTGTGGTAGGGACACCCCGGCGTTGCCAGGCGTGATGCTAAGTGGCTTCATATTCCAGCTTCGCTTCCAGAGCGACCTCTTCTTCGCCCGAGATGAGCTACAAGGGTGGGCACCTTGATGTTCAGGGGATGGGGCGGTGCCAGGCTGCCTTCCTTGCTTGCAGCCTGCGAACAGCAAGAGCATTGCAAACGTTCTTTGTTCGCCAGGCTCTCGTTTTTCTTGGTGCTTCTCATTGCCGGCTTGGAGATTCGGTCCAAAGACTTGCAAGCACACGTCTTTGTGTGACTCTGCTGCAATCGAACATGCTGTCAGTGTCGTATGATTGCTCCAACGATGTCACGATGTATGTTTCTCGAAAGAAACTTCCCCCTGAAGCGTCGCGAGATTGCATGGCCAGAGTTTCTGCAACAAAGGATGGCACTCCTGCCTGCAAGTTGCGAGCTAATCGGAATCGCCGTGTATGCTTACAAAGCCCAGTCCTCAGCGACCAAGAGTGGCATGAACAAAAACGGCATACATATATACCTACATACCTAGATCATCCTACATGCTTAAAGACCTGCATACATACATTACATCGCATGCCCCGTGCATGTGCACACGTAGTGTTGCGCGGTGGGCCCAGTCACTCAGCATGCAGCGCATGGGTTTCCGCAGTCAGAAGAACGAAGCGAAAGGCGAGTCACGGAACAGCGCTGTTTGGCTTGGCTTGCTTGCTGCTGGGGTTTGGGTGCTTGCGATGCACATGAAGTTCCGACCCCAAACTGCTGCCTTGACCAAGGTGCTGGAATACACTCCGGTCGAGGGCATGGTGCTCGGAAGTGTCCTTGTCGCGATGGGTGATGGGCTGGTCATCCCCAAAATGAAGGCTGGTTTGCGGGCACGTGCTCTTGCTGTACCGGTTAGATCCGTTTGGTTCAGGGATTTTGGGAGAAATGCGGACCTTCAGTGACTGCTGGCCGCTAGCCTGCTACTCATCTCTGAGAGCCCATGTAGGAGGTAAAGAGGAGTTGAGGACAGCCACCCCTCAGCTCAAAAGCTGCTGCTGCAAAAGGAGTTTTCCCAGACGTTCCCGGACCATCCGTTGCCGCGGCTGGTGTTTGCATGGGCTCCTTTGGAGGCGAGTGATCTGCAATGGGCGGATGCTCTGAAGATCTGTGACCTGCCGTTTCCTGCGAGGCCTCGTTCGCCCTGACCGCCTTTGGGGTTCTCACAGGCCTGGCGTCGCCGGCCCATCAAGCGCCTACCCCATTGGGAACCATTCTTCTGGCAAACTTCCTTCGCCTGGTCGCAACCCTGGCTCTGGGCGTCCTGTTAGGCTGGGAAATTGTTCGGAATGCCAAAGTCAACAGTCACTTGTTCTGTCGAAGATGCCCGGAGGATGTGTGAGCTGTTGGTTCATCGCCAGCCGGAAGAAGATGCGCATCTTGAAGCTTTTATTCCAGGATCCGGCCACAGAAGGTGAGATCCCCAGGCTGTACAGACCTGTTCTCTTTCCTGCGGCCCAGTCCTCCGAGTCCGAGTCTGGGGTGGACCGCCGTCGTCTTGTTTCAGCGGCTTAAGGGCCTTGGGACTGGTGCAGGGTTAGTGACAGTGTGAGCTCCTGCAATCCTACACTGCCCATCGTCACCACCCAACAAGCCACCTTTTCGGCACCTGGCGCCCTGCATTCGCCTGCAGCTCACCTGTACGCTGGTGTGTGGGTGCCTGTGCTGCCGCGCCTGCTCCAATCACGGGGTGTCGGCAGCGGTTGGGATGTATCATGCGCACCAGCATCCACGCAAGCCGATTTCCACTGCCGGGCCACTGGGGTTTGTTTCAGTAAGCCAGAACCCACCACAGCACCGGCCTGAGAATCCGAAGCTTTGAAGCTGGTCAAACGCTGGAGCTGGAGGCCCCGCGAACACACCGCAAGAAAGGTTGCCTGGGGGGCACCAGGCGCGAGGAACTGTGGCGTCAGTGTCACCAGGAGACACAAAACCTACAAGCAAGGACCTGTGTTTTGGCATGTCCTGTGTGCTTCAAAGCCCGAAACCAACAAGTCTGCGACTAAGGTGGCAAAACGGAAGGCTTCCTTGTCCTCATCTCTGTTACGCTCATTGCTTTGTCATTGGGCAAGGGCGAGTCTGGAAGCGAATTGGTTCCGATGGGCTTCTGTCCAGGCTCGAAGCTGAGTGGATTCCACTGTCGTTATTTTCGTCGTCATCGTGGTTGTGGTTCTGGCGATGGTTGCGGATGTAGTTGTCCATGCCAGGACGACGATATCGTACATGCTACCAGTGCATCAGGATGCAGCATCCATGCCCGAACGGCGACGGCTTCCCTGTTGCGAGTTACCAGTGCATCATTTGGGAGCGTCCATGCTCGAACGATGATAGCATTCACGCTGCCAGTGCATCCTCTGAGGCTGAGCATCCCTACCCGAAGAATGCTAACGTCTATGCCACCCGATCCACCCGTGCGTTTTTTGCGAAAGAGCATGCGCGCCAAACGATGATGACGTCCATGCTACCCCTCCATGGGACAGAGCACCCATACCCGAACTATGATGACTTAACTCCTGCCCCGAGCATGATGATGTCTATCTCACCAGTGCAGCCATTCCCCTACCATGACGAACTCCCTGTCACCAGTGCACCGTTTCCCCGACCATGATGACGTTCGTTGCGCGCATTATCACTCGCAGCAGCAGCAGCAGCAGCAGGAGGAGGAAGAGCAGCAGGAGGAGAAGGACTGCTGCTGCTTTTGCGACTCTGCTACTGCTACTGCTGTTGCTGCTGCTGCTGCTGCTAAAAGAAGGACAGCCACGACTACGAATGTGCCACAAACACTGGGCCGACGCCGACAACGAAGACGACGACTACGACTGCACTACCCCATTGTGCTTACTAGGCTTTTCTGCTTGTCATAATGTTGATAGTGACACCAATAGTTGTCGAATAAATGGCAAATCTGCTTGTCAAAAACATGCCTCACGATGATGTTCACGATGACGATAATGATGATCATGGTTGTTTCGTGTTCTGTTGCCTGCTGTTGATTACGGCGCATCCAAGCCTTAAGTCACATTTAGCGGTTCCCGCCTTTTCTTTTCTTCTGGTGGTCGTCTTGTATCTAGAAACTTAACGTGCGGAAAGAAACGTTGGTGGCGATGGCGGTGGTGGTGGTGGTGGTGGTGGTGGTGGTGATGGTGGTGGTGTTGGTGTTGGTGGTGGTGTTGTTGTTGGTGGTGGTGGTGGCGGCGTTCGTGGTGTTGGTGCTCTTGCTCCGGCGGTGGCGGTTGTGATGGTGCTGGTGTTGGTGGTGGTGTTTGCGACGGTGGTGATGGTGGTGGTGGTGGTGGTGGTGGTGGTGGTGGTGGTGGTGGTGGTGGTGGTGTGCTGGTGTGCTGGTGTGCTGGTGTGGTGG